CTCCGCACTGCTCCCCATGGTCAACTTGTAACCTAAAGAACATTAAACCCGAATTAGGTTTTCGGTCTACCTGTGCTGATCATTCTGTAAGATTTTTGCTGACTTTTAAATCAATTTTGTAAATAAAGTATTATTATCATTCGAAGCAAATTTTTCTTTCTTTTCATTGGCCGAGAGCTCACCACGTGACCCGCAAATAACTGCCCACAAGTAATGTTCTGCTCATGCGCAATTCCGTCCAACAGTGTTTGGCTTAGTATTTGGCTGCAAATAATATTTACGGGGGGTGACAACTCTAACAAAGGCTGTTTGGGCAGTCCTATGAATAACTTTATGTCCTCCCGGAAACTTGGACAACCCTCCCGAATTTTTTGGTAGCATTCTCCATGTTTAATGTTTAACTTCCCAAAATTGTTTTAACAATTAAAGATTTTTTGCAGCTTCTTGTTAATTATGTAACTTGTGGATTATCTAACCTTAGCCGTTATTTTTTCGTTTAGAGGAGTTGAACACTGAGGGTATCATGTTGACACAGAAAGACTGTCCAACTTTTTAAGTATAAAAATTCGTGGGGTCTGTTTTTAATCACCGACAAATCGGGCGAGCGCTGAAGGGGCCAGCCACTAGGGGGGTCTGGGGGCATGCTCCCCCAGAAAATTTTGAAATCTTGGTGCCCTGAAACGTCATTTCTAGTGTTCTGAGAGGACAAATTCTGTACAAATTGTTCTCTAAATCAATTGTCATATTTATGCTTATTTCTATTGGCGTGACTTCGCGTAGAAGTAGTCGATTAAATTTTATATTTTGTGCGGTTTTTGAAATTGTTCTGGATATATATCACTTTCAGCTAAGTATACTGATAGTATGTGCCTTGTACCGGCACGGTTCTTGTGTCAATCCGCTGGGGATTGCACGTGGTCAATCGCACTCCAACTGCTATTTTAGTTGGAAACGTTGCTGATTAGTCTTTTCATATCATGGGGAGTTAAGCTGTTTTCAAGTGTCAAAATACATCAGTAAAATACAGCGCATAGGCAGGGTGCATATCACTGTGCATATATATTGTTTGATAACATGTATATATCAAATCTTTGCTCCATGTCCCGAAAATATCTCATATTTCCCGAAAAAATTCCCAGGTTTCCCGATTCCCGGCAAAATCTCCAGATTCCCGGAATAAATTTGTTTTTCTCCCGAAACAGCCCTTGTTAGAGCTGTCACCCCCCGTAATATTTTGCTCATGCGTAAAGGAAACCGTGCTTTTCTCCTTCTTGCGATCGCTCTTGCGTGAAAATGGCAGATAGCTTCACTTCCCAAAGATATTCATTAAAAAAACAAACTAGGTGATCGAATGATAAAACAATTATTGAACTCGGTTATCAAATAATTGATCTGCTCGCCACAGACAATTCACAATATTTTGCGAAACCTCGTCCAATAATTGTTGTATCATGTGAATCATTAAAAGTCGTTTACTGTGGTGGGAAAGGTACAAAGTAACCTGTGTGATCATTCAGTAGCGTGTTCAAAGAGCCTCTATTGTCTCTTTAGAGATCGTCGTGCGGGCATGTGAAAATTAAAACTGCGTGTGATTTTTTGACCGCAAGGGCATTACTTTCCGCGCTACGGGCTCACTCTCGCGCACTCGCTTCGCTCGCGTCCTCGTCGATTTTCGAAAATTAAAAGAAAGTAACGTTTGTGTACAGGCTAATCATGCAGGCGTTCTATTTTGCGAGATTGAAAGTAAAAGCAGCTTAGAAAAGCTTTCTTGATCACATTTTGGATGCGAAGAAACAAAGAGAAGGATGACTTTCAGACTACGTACATACAAACATGCTGTCTGACATTAAACTCTACATCTACATCGACTTGATGCGTATGCTACATAGAAAAAAACTCGCCCACGGTAGAAACTAGAATTCGATTTTGTGTCACACGGTATATTAGTGTGTTACAATAAACACGCCGGCGAGCATGTTACATGCGAGCGAGCAAGGCAAATGTCTTTCGTCTTATCCCTCGCGCGTTTGCGTTTGCCGCTCGCCTGTACGACAATGCTGAGGTACTGCTAGAGTCTAGTGAAGGAATATTCTATAGAATCCGTTTATTTCATTAGACTCCGCGGCATTACCAATGCGACGTTTATTCAAGGGCGTCGTATACTTGTATTTCAAATCACATTTCTTAAATCAGTAAAACAGAAATAAAATTTTCATTGTCTCGCTCTTTTTGCTGAGATAAAATCGTAATTGTCTGAATGGTGTAGATAACAAAGTTGTACCGATTTTTTCTTATAATCCTGGAATAAACCCCGCATTCTTCCGATTGGGTGCGGGGGTTATTCGAATGCGGCGTTTATTGGTAATTTTTCTTCCACATGCGGTGTTAAATCGAGTAGATACGCTAATATTATCTCCGTGTAAGCAGCTGAAACACATTAGTTTGGACGTTTTTCTTAACCTTCACTACCCTGCGATCAGAGTCTAGGAAGATCGAAGGA